CCGATTCACCACGTCTCATAGTTACAGCGCGCCAGGGCTGCTCCGCGTGGATATGCAAGCACGCGAACCACCCGCCATGGCCGCATTGGCTCCGACGTTCTCCTGAGACGTGCGCACGTCCGTGTTGTGGCGCCATCTGCCATCCATGCCCAGACGAACCCCTAGCCGGCCTACGCGACGGGCGTCCTCCCATCGGCCTCGACGTCGACAGTAACTATTCCCGGCACATCCAGTACTGTACATCCCGCCTGTCTGTGGCGCAGCAGGCACAACACCTGCACACTCGCCCGTCGCACCTTCCTCACGCCTGGCGCACTGCGTCTCAACACCACGTCTGCTGTCCACATCCACCACCCACGGCTAGCAGCCCCGGCCTCGCATCAGCCCTAGGCGATCAAAAGGACGCGCTCCGCCAGTTCACGCACCTTCACTAGCACATGCATCCACAGCCATGACCGGCTTTACCCATTTCCTCAAGGTGAGTGACAGCTGTCACGTACAGGAAGCTTGGGCGGTGAGCGCATAACGCGACCCACCGCGCACACCAACCCCATGTGGAGGCTGACGATGCGCCTCCAGACCATCCTCGTACCACTCTTCCTCGCTGCCCTCCTCTATGTCCTGCTAGTCTTCCTCGTGCTGCCCTTTGTGCGCCGGCACCGCAGCCGTTATAGCCAGTACCTGCCTATGCCCGCGAGCGTGACCGACTTCCCGTCCTCTTGGCGGACGAACCTCTCCGATGCCCTCTACAACCTCTTCGCGCCTTCCGCGTGGGTCAGACAGCGCGCGATTGTGGATGGGAGCGGACAACACGACGACGACTTGTTCGACGACGAGGAGGGAGAGGGCATGGTGGGCTTTGACCCCATCGATGAGAGGAGAAGAGAAGCCCTCGAACAACGCCGCAGCATCATGGAGGAAGAACGGCGGTTAGGACGTGAGCTGGAGGAAGGCTTCAAGGATGACAGTGAAGATGAGCATGAAGACGAGAGGCGGCGGTCCTTGTCACGACATCGATGATTTCTATAATACCCTTCCTCATACAAGAAAACACGAACAACTGCACTGCCGTCTACATTAGCATAAAAGCTGAAGTTATGTAAAGCCCAAAGGTAATGTAGACTTCTAGGAGGTAGGTGTCTGGATTTTTCGTATGAGGTGTTTACATCACTTTGCCTACAATTTGGAACTTTCTCATGCATCACATCATTGGCTGGAGTTGGAGTTGGAGTTCAAGTGGATATATTCATGTACATAGGTAGGCGGAAATACCCATTCGACGCCCAAGCCTAAACAAAGAAATTCGTGCCAAATCGCTCAAAGAAGACAGAAGGCTGCTAAAGAAGATCGCTCCTCTACTTGCGCTGACCGTAGGCCTTGGTGGCGTAGTCACCCTTGTGGACAATGAGGTCCTGCAAAACGAAGTCAGTGTATGTCTCACATAATTAAGGTCTAGGGTTACTGACCTCAGGGCGATAGTTCTCGCGGCCGGAGAAGTACTCGTCGAGAATAGCCTTGGTGCCGTTGGCGTATCGCTCCTGGGCATCGATGGAGGTACCGGACATGTGAGGAACCATGGCGTTGCCGCCGCCCCATGGGTTCTGGGCGTAGCGGAGCGGGTGGTCCTTGGGAGCGGGCTGAGGGAACCAGACGTCACCACCGTATCCACGGAGGTGGCCGTCCTTGAGAGCCTGGGCAACGTCCTCCTTGACGACGATGGCACCACGAGCGGTGTTCACCAACCATGAGCCCTTCTTCATCTTGGAGATGAGGTCCTTGTTGAAGAGACCGCGGGTCTTCTCGTGGAGCGGGCAGTTGATGGTGACAACATCACACTGGGCCAACATCTCCTCGAGGTTCTCGACGCGACGGCAGCCAATCTCCTTCTCCTTCTCAGGAGAGAGGGGCTGGTAGTCGAAGTAGAGGAGCTCCTTGCAGTCGAAGGGCTTGAGACGGCGGAGCACACGCTCACCGATACGGCCAACAGCGACGGTACCGACAACCTTGTTCTCGAGATCGTACTCGTTCTTGGCGACCTCGGCGACGTTCCACTCTCCCTTGGCGATCTGCTCGTGGGCGGGGACGAAGTTGCGGACAAGGGTCAGGATGGTCATGACAACGTGCTCGGCGACGGAGACGACGTTGGAGCCAGTAACCTCGGCGACGGTGATACCGCCGTTGGTCTTGTTGGCGGCATTGAGGTCGACGTGGTCAGATCCGATACCAGCAGTGACGGCAAGCTTCAGATTCTTAGCCTTGGCCAGGCGCTCTGCGGTGAGGTAACCGGGGTGGAAACTGTTGATCGCGATCTGTTAGCTGATGCTGGCTCGGATGGTGTTTGCAGCCTTAGCGCGTCCGGCCGAAGCTTGACGCGTGCATGTGGGGCGCTTAGCGGCATTGCGGGGTAGCTCTGACGTACGGAGTGGTAATGATAACCTCAGCATCAACAAGGTGCTTGTCGAACTCGGAGTTCTCGCCTTCCTTGTTGGAGGTGGTGACGAGCTCGTGGCCTTGCTCCTCGATCCACTTCCTGATGCCTAGCTCGTTCTCGGTAGTTCCGAGCATGCGAGGCTCCTGCTCAGCGTGGACACCACCCTAGTGTTGTCGTTAGACATGCCAACGCGCATTGGGAGTACCATGGACACTTACATCGTAGAGGACGAGAAGAACTTTGCCCTGTTGTGAAGCCGTCGCGGTCAGCGTTCTGAAAGCATTCGGTTGGCGGAGCGACGAAGTTAATCGAGGTCCGGCGCGTGCGCTGAGGAGGGAGGAGGCAGGGCGCGCAAGGCGAGAAGCAGATCGGAGAAATACCATTTTGACTTATTGAACTGATAGTAGAACAATTGAGGCTCCGAGGGAGAGATATATAGTAGAAGCCGGCAAATGTACAACGAATGGTACGTATTCCTGACGCAAGGTATGTCAGCCTATCGTCCCGGCAGGGGGGAAGTGAGGGGTGCGTGGGTCGGTATACCTCTTGCGGGCCGAAGTGACGTCGTTGTATGGTAGAGAAGTTAAATGGAAGACCGGATGCTACACTGGACAATGTTGGTGTTGTGAGAGCAATTGAGGGGTTCGTGAGGGGGCTTTTATATACCGCCGAGCAGCCGCACGATCTTCTCACTACTTTCAGCCTCTGATCCCTGGGTCACCAGGCAGACGAGGTCGGTCATCCCCACTTGGTGATGCGACATTCCCACACAGACAAGTGGTCGCTGCGGGTGTGACGGTCGTGTTTGGAATTACTTCGCATCGCTGATAGTGCGGGGTCGCGTCCAATGGCGCGAATCAGCTCACAGACGCGCCAGGGGAGCTCTACCAGCTGCTTACCCGTTTGATACTCACGAAGCTTCGCCGAGAAGCCCGTAGCGTAGTCTGTGGGCGTGGGTCAACACGGTAGCTCCAGTAGCGCGTGGTCGTTTGACCCGATCGAGCAAGAATGTACGTAAATCGAGGCCTGGGAGTGGCACTTCACTGGCGTACGCTAAAGCTCCATATGGAGAGCTCCCGAATAGCTTCAATTCGGCATTGTGGAAGGATCAATATGGTTTACGGAGCTGGTATTGTGACTCTCAGAGGCCCGAAGGTCGTGATGAAGTGTTGTTCGAATGGCTGTCCGCAGGGCTTTCGCTGGGTTCCAGCTTCCAATGCGACCACAGGAAAATGCATCTTGCGTAGAGAGAACTGTGGGCTCGGACGACACACCCACAGCATCTCTGGAAGGTCGTGCCCGTGCTAGCGATGGCAAATCCAAGGAAAGTGGGCTTGCGTCCGAGCAATCTAGATGCCGCTTTGTACTTTGTCCGCAGCAGCACAGGAAATGCGGAGCTGCAGCGGTTCAAGCTCGCAGTCTGCGGATGCGAGATGTCGCCGTTGCGCCTGACAAAACTCGCGGGAAGCCAGGGCGACGGTCGGCGCAGGGGGTTTGTCTCGGTTTAGACGGCGGCAGGCTGGAGATCGTTCTTATCTTTCGGCCGAAGCTCGCTCGGAAGGTGCGCGCGCGCCAAATTCGCGTTTCGGTAGTTCCAGCTTCCAGCTTCCAGGTACCCCACCACATCCACAGAATGACACTACGCATCCCTTCTCCCGATGTAGCTGAGGAACCCGATGGTGTCATAGTGTCATCTTGCCGACATCTCACGGAGCCATCTTCTGTCGATGAATGACTTAGTTATCCGGTCCCGCTCTTGCCTATCGTTGTATTAATCATACAGCTTCTCCGGCAGCTCCGCCTCCTCTGTATCACCTTCATCACAGCTCTAAGATCAAGTCGCTTGATCTCCTTGTATACTACTGTACTGGCTTTAACAGTAGCCTTCCCGCCCTACACGAGATTGTTCAAGACCCCCGCATTGCTACATTAACGATCACAATTGTGAGGTGTGCGCCGTACAGGCCATGATGTCGCCATACCGTCCCAAAGCTAGACAGTCTGTAGAAGAGCTTCCTGTAACTCTCGGTGCTCTATGTATCCGCGAATCGTATCCGTGTCGCATTCTACGCGACGGGAGGTAACTGGAACGAGTGTTGGTCTTGCTTTACCACCTGGGTAGCTACAATCCGTCCTGGATTAGCTGACGACAGTAATTCGGAATACGTCGGATAACAGTACACAGAAATCGTGAAGGAATGGAACATGGACTGCATTGCAAGAGCTCATGTGCATGAATATAGAGGGTTCTACCCAGCGATTTTAGCGCTCTCTTACCCAGGATACTAAATGGCGCACAAACAAAGCGAAGGTGAAGGCGAGCGCGAGCAAGCCCAAGCTCCAATTAAGGCCCATAGCGCAGTCACAACCTTTCAGTCGCCATCCTTTCTACACTCTTCTGAATCAGCCTTTTGATTTAGGGCGCGAATCGAGGTTCTTCTTCCACCACGGTCTCAAAGAAGGCAGAGTCTCCACGCTGGCTATTCCACGGAAGCGCACGTCTGAGGGTGAGTCCCCATCAAGCTGATAGCGAAAATCGTATACTGACGTCAACATAGGTACTGCCACAATGTCTACAACCGGAGGCAACGCAGAGGTCATCGCGAAGAAAGGCGATGTCATACTCCAGCTAGGCAAAGACGGGGTCGCAGAGGGTGTTCGCAACGTCCTTGTCGCATCCGTGGCTCTTAGCCTCGCTTCACCAGTCTTTGCAGCTATGTTCGACGGTCGCTTCTCCGAAGGCCAGAATCTCTCGCCAGCTTCACCACGTACAGTTCCGCTCCCGGATGACGATCCTGAGTCCATCATCATGATCTGCAAGATCGCACACTTCCAGACATCGCAGCTTCCCGTCAAAATTACCGCCATGGCAGTTTCCAAACTCGCGCTCGCATGTAACAAGTACGACTGCGTGGATGGGGTCCGATCATGGGCTATTATCTGGATCGCCGCCCTTCTTGAAGATCCCGATGCTGCGGACTTCGAGAAGATGATTCTTGCTACACATCTCCTTGAGTTGCCGAGTGAATTCTCCAGGGTTTCTCAGAGACTGGTGCGAGACCAAACCACGATCCTCAGTGTTACAGAAGCCATGGACGGTCATGAATTTCTGCCTCTGTTGGTATATGAATATATCCTACTTCACCAGATCTGTTATCAGAATGAGATCACCAGGATATTCGCTTCGATCGTTACAGGAAAAGAGTCCTGCAATACGAGCAGCCAGGCCGTTGTTACTTTCGTCAGGTACCTCCAGAGAAACGATCTATGGCCTATCAAAGAGTACTCGGCACCGGTCATCAAGTCCAGACTTGTAGCCGTGCCTGAAGCAACCACCCCTTATGGCAACGTCACTAACGCAAGTTGCCGTACCTCAGCCTGCGTCTGCAAGTCTGATGCTCGGCTCATCAAGGCCATCCTTATAGCCGAGCTCGATAAGGCATACAACATGATACAGGGTGTCTGCTTAGACTGTGTTCGTCAAAAGCTACTCGGAGAGCAAAAGCGGGAGTGTCGCGTGCCCCATGCGACGAAAGAAGCAACGGTTTACCCTTGATCGCCTTACGAAATGCACATCAAGGCACGCGTACGCTTGTCATAAAGTCTGGAGAAAGTATGGTGTTCTCGGCAGCGGCCTATGTCTTTTCTCTCAGATGGTTTCGAGACGCAGGATACCATGGGGCCCTAGTTTTCACCAAGGTTGGGCCCGAAAATAGAAGCTCTATCGATTCGGTTCTAGCGAGGCTTATTCTCCTTGTAGCCCTGCGTGGGCATCACATTAGCCTCAAATAGAGTGCAATAAGCTTTCCAAAATGAACAAGACTTTCTCAACGTGACACTCTTCGAATTTGATATCACGTAGTTTTCTAAGTAGCTCTGCGGCACACCTCGCGAATTTCGGCACTCATCAAACTCGGTACATCTCTCAACGCCACGCCGCAAGGTTCTTTGGCTCCAAAAACCACCCCATTCAAGGAAAAAACTGAACACCCTGGGGCCTGCATCAAGATAAAAACGTGCAAATTAGGTGGCCCAACGGCGACGTAGGCTCCAGGGTGTTCAGTTTTTCCCTGGTATAAGGTGACACTTACATTTCAGTCTTCGGCTCGAGGGCAACCTTATTGCGTGTCCCTCTGGCCAAAAAGCTCGTTACTGTTGCCGCCCACGTATGATACTCTACCCACCACACTTAATCCGTATCTCACATGCAGTGCCCTAATTTTACCTGTATCAATGACGTACAGATTCGTACACCTCTCTATCTCTAAGCGGAAGGCGCAGTGATGGTGATGCATTGATGCATTGTTGAAAAGGACACCGACATGGTACCATGGTCGTTAGGTAACGGATTGGCTGGCAAAACAGCTGTAGGCCGAGATGATATGGTTGACATGGTGGCGCCCCGGAACGAGAAGATGTTCTTGTTGATAAGAATTTAGGCGCTAAACGCATCATATGCGCTGCTCTTAAGACCCGTCCGCCAGTATCGTGAGTTCGTAGTTTAGCCTAGTTAGTCGCCAAGATCCAGATCCAGTCGGTAGAACTAGCTCTGATCATCCCAGGAGAAGGCGCTATTCCGGACTTCGTGAGTGATGCGTAATACCTAGGTACTGCCGAAAGCGCTAAGCTGGGTTCAGCGGAGATGATGCGCGAGCTTGTGTGTGGGTATCTCGCGGGAGATCGACAGGAGTGGCCAGCATTCGCCATTATCATCCCGGACTTCGGTGTCGTGATGTAGGGAAGAACTGGTTCGGGGTTTGAGGGTCTTCGGAGGGGTTCAATTGGGCCGCTCGCGGGGTCAGAATCGTCGTCATCATAGTTTCCCCTGTCCAGCTATTGCCACTTATTGATGAGATGCGGTCAACCTCAATTCGTACTCATCTTCAAACCACCAAGTCGAGTCGGTCATAGATGATGAGACGGGTAGGACACGAAGTTCAGCTGCTCGCCATACCTCGCTTGCGCGCGACGTCCAAGTCCGAGCTCCACTGGCGCCTCGGCAACTCTCGCCGCTTCCCAAATGTCCCTCCGCTGACATCTCCGTCCGCTCTCCAACAGCCTGCGCTTACAGATCTCTGACATATCTGCTTCGGCATTTCTGGCTAAATGAAACAAGCTTCAAGTCCGCCCGACGCCTGATCCTTCGATCCCTCATCTCTCTGCCTACCAACGATTCGCCATGTTCCTTGTGATTGGGCACGTGGTGCGTCCGCCTTGGTAAACCCGTGCATATCTGTACCATTCCTCAGCTCTTAGCATGATGTCCTATACGCGCGACATTCGTCCCGATGCTATTAAGGCCCAACGTTCGATATTGAGTACAAGGTCACCCCGTATGCTATGCGATTATTTCCTTCTCGCCTATTCGCCAACGTTGAAGTATCTAGACTTCGTTTTCCTCAAATTGGGAAGCGAGCTTGTCTACCGTCATCACGAGGAGGGGATCCGAAATTGGTTTCCTGGGGAAATTAATCTATCCCGCAGCATTCTTGGGGTAGGTTTCGCAAGGGCGTGTCTCTTCCCCGCCAAAGGGCCTAGTGCTTGCTCCTAGAGAGACGGCGCGAGGGGTTTGTCAGGCACGCTCTTTGTTGTATAGCGTGGCACGGTACGCCTGAGCTGTGCTACGGTCGATCAATATAAAGAGCCTGGGTACTTGCTTTCCCCAGAGTAGAATTCATTTCGCTACAACACTACCGACTGAACCTTGGAAAGCTTGCATACTCGTCTCTCTTCTCTCGGAACGCAAACCAACGTCTGCGCATCATGTTTGCCAAAATCCCCACCACGCTTCTCCTGCTCGTCACCTCGCTCGCACTACCTACATACGCTGGTATACAACAAACAGACTTCAGCGGCATTGGTCACATCTACGTCTTAGCCTCCGACAACTGGGGCACCGCAACCCCAGAGTCAAGTGTAGGATGCCTGAATGCGCATGGCAAATTCGTCCATGACAGTGGGAGCGGGAAAGAATGCGGGACATTCGAGCGCATGGATGACTACCCTTATACTCTTAGCACTCACAATGGCAACTGCACATTCCAAGACGCTAGTCAAGAAGAGAACGTCGACAGCCACTACGGGCAGGGCGATTATGCGTGGACGTGTACGGAGCGCAACGTTGACATTTACGACGAGCTATACACTATAGTACGTATTGTTCTCAACTTGGCTCGCCAGAATACGTTGCTAATGCGCATGTAGACCGGATTCCCATACGTCTTCCTCTGCTTCGGAGATGTAGCATGCTATTACGATGCTAAGCGTACCCCTACTGTCAACGAATCTCTTCCACTATGGCAATTCCGTTGGGGATCGCAGCAGACCGGCATCACGCCGGGGCATGTTATGCTGCAACTCATGTGGAAGAAGCTTGGTGATACACCAAAGAGAGAGCAAATGAGCGAGATACCAGGCCCAAGGATCCAGCTTAGTGAGGGCATGCAGATACCGCTACTGGGTCAGAAGTCAAAGGCATAGTGTTGAGACCAAGCAATTGGTAAGAAGCGCAACGCGTCGGAGTACTGAGTTATGATATCCATTTTTCCATTGATGAAGGGGCGGGCGGTCTTGGATGTGTTTCATCTGGTGTGAAGCGACGTTAGCAATCGCTAATGAGTCCGGGTCGTACCGCATATGTAGTCAATTTGATGTGCGATGCCAGCTTGCATGCGCAAAGTAATCTCGGAACAGTGCTGTTTCAGATCACCACACGGCATGGCTATCATTAAAACCTTCCACGCATCCGTAACACCGTGAATCATAGGTCAAAGACTTAAAAGATGAAGATAGGATATCGGGTTCGTTAGGTGAGATTGCTGCCGACATCTGAAGTCACAAGCTATTAGTCCACCACTCATTAACATATATGGCTGTCATCAAGTTTATGCAAAACAGGGCCTAAGTAGATGAACCACCGCCAACAATAGAGTGATGTTACCATTGTCGTAAGAATGACCGATCCAAATGCAGTATAGTTACAATGAGGCCGATATATTAGTCGGCGGAAGCAAGGTTTACTATGAAAGGTCAGTGAATGATTGACGTCGTCGAAGATAATGCGAGTCAATACCTGACCTAGCACGTCGTTGTTGGGGTCGTGAGGAGTAGTATCGACCCTGACAGTGCTCGAAGACTCGTAGGTATTGAGATGTACATGCTGGCACTTGTAGGAGCCGTATGTGCCAGTCAATGGTAGAGGAAGCTTGTGGACATCGCCGCAACCGACGGTGAAGGCGGCTTCCTCGTCCGACATTGAGCCGCCGCAGTCCTTGTTCTTTTGGTTGTTAGTTCGTACGACCGATCTCAATCATGTGTCGAATACGTACCTTCCAAAAGTTGCACTCGATGGACTCGACGCAGATCATGATTGACATGATGTCGTCGTTGTTGCTACAACACGTCAATGACTGCGATGCAAGAGTGATGAGATTACGTACAGTGGAAAATACCTAGGGCTTTGCTTGTCCATGAGGAGAAACGTAGGCGCGGATGAGAACTCTGCTTGAGAGTACACGGCGCCGATATCGCGGACGTCGTCGTTGTTGATCATGCCGATGTGCGGACTAGGAGCCGCAAACGCCATGCCGATGACGATGAGGAAAAGAGAGAAAACGTGCTGGTAGTACATTACTTCGATAGATATTTTGTCTTTTGTCTTTATAGTTCGTGAGAAGTTTTATAGTTCAAGAGCGCGGCAGTAGAGGGAATAAGTTGAGGGTGGAAGTGTGGAGAGGAAAACTCTCGGAGGAGGTAACCGCTGCCATTTATGCTCCGCTGGCACCAGGCAAACACTGACCAGCCTCGCAATTGGCGACAAGATCGATTGCCACCTTCCGAAGGCGCAAGGGTGAAGGCGAAAAGATCCCGCCCTTTCTTTTCCGGACTCTCGGTATAGCTCCGCGGTAGTCATAGAGCGCTCCGCGAGATCGTTCCCTCTGTCTCTGCTCGGACCCACCATGCTGATATATCGGTGAGGGTGAAAATGAACTGCCATGCAAAGAAGCCATAGATGTGTGAGTCTCCAAAAGTTCCTGCCCGTTTCTGACCGTACCCTTTTCTTTGTTCCAACGTCTACTTAACACGAGGAGATCTTTAGCCATGCATTGAGGGACGGCAGGGTCACATCCGAGCTCTTGCATAGTCTTCTTTCGCTACGCTACCGCCTGCGTGGAAGTGTAAACGAATATGCGATTGTCCAGCTTGCGTCAATCCGCATCTGGCACTCAAAGTGATTGGAAGGGTAATATATAACTCGCTGGTGGCCATGCTCGCTTTCGGCTAGAGTGGGAAACAATCAAAACCTTTGTCATCGATAGCGACGCGTATGCTCTTGGTTGAAGATGACGATGGAAGTTTAAGCTGAGTATGACTAGTGCTAAAAACAAGTACTCGTAGTTCTCTTTCAGCTGCGATACTACGCCGTGGTATACGTCTCGCTGGAACTGAATGTCATCCAGACTATTAGCTCTTCGATCGAAATCACATCGGATGCATCGCCGAACGGCATCGCCATATCTGCGACCAGCTTCGCTGTATAGATCGTCTACAAGTCGA